GGGAGGGGGGAGGCTGGGAAGGGATGTGAAGGGTAAACCAAAGGAGGAGGCTGCAATGCTTGGTAAGATATGTACGCATTATCCTGCCCATGTAATTGTAACCCCTCTATACAGTATGTTCACAAATAAAATTAAATTAAATTAAAAAAAAGAAAAAGAAAGAAAAAAGCCGGAAGTGGCGCTGTGACTAAAGTGGTAGAGCGCTAGCCTTGAGCTGAAGAGCTGAGGGACAGCGCCCAGGCCCAGAGTTCAAGCGTCATGACTGACAAAAAAAATAAATAAAATAAACCCAAGGCAGAATGAGGGTTGAAATTGTTCGTTTATCTACACGTGTATTCATAACATTTATTAAGCCCCGGGTCCAGGCGCTGGTTCAGGGTTTGCTGGCTTTTAGGCCAATACAAGTCCTGAGGCCTCCAACCTTGATCTCAATCTGAAAAGCTGGTCTTGCATCAGACTCAGACAAGGTGGGGCCCACAGATTGTCAAGATAACAAACCCAGCTCCCTCTCAGATCTGAAAGAAGACATTAAGTCAAAAAGTGGGGGGGGGGTAGCAGAACAGGTTTAACTGATTGAATATAAGATACAAACACAGCTCAGAATCTTCAAAGCTTATGGCTCTGTATCCATGTTGATCTTTCACAAAGCTAGCTACCTAGAATCCAAACTCGTAAAGGTGGAAATAAACTACCCTACCTTTTACATTTATCAAGCTTAGAGAAAAGTCTAGGAGCAGTAGGGCTGGGCCAGGAAGGGCGGGAAATGAGGGAGAGAAGGACATTAGGGAAGAAAGATGATGTTGATAAGAAGAGAAGACTTGGTACAGGCAGGAACCCAAGGAGTTCATACAGGACTAAACTTGGGTCTGTACTTCTGTGGAAAGCTGTTCATGCCCATTGGCATGGAATCAGTTTTGTTTTACTGGAACTGTGCCCCCTTCCAGAAAGTTCCCCGCTGCTATAGGAGAACACAAACTTTAGAAACCTCTTGTTTTCACTGTCCCACTTACACTAGCAATGGTGCGAGCTTGTCCTCTAGCTACCATTTAGCTAACCACTCAGTGAGACAGTTAGAGAGAAGGGCGTCATAGCTCCCATCCTTCAGAGGAGATAACTGAGGCATCCCAGGAGGTTAATGAGCGGGACTAACCAGGTCTGAAGCCATTCTAGCCTAAAAGCTCCAGCTCAAACACTTTCCCTACCATGCTGGGCCATTCTTCCCGAGGGAAGAAATGCTCGTTCAGTTGGAGTGGGGACAGAGCCCCATCCATAACAGCTTGTCTGCCTTCTGGATTTGAATTCACCAGGATTGGGAAGACACCAAAGTGGCCCATTGGAAGATGACTGAATTTCCTCAGCTCAGTGAATTGTTTTTGGGTGGTGGTTCAAGAAACATGGAGATTTCCTGAGTGGGGTTCCTGGGTTTGGCTCCATCACGAAGAAGAATCATTAGTGATGGCAGTAGAGTTTTTCAATGTGGGAGGATTATCACAGAAACAAGAAATAATTTAGAATCTTGCTTAAGACTGGGCATGGTGTAGACCCTTGCAATCTCATTACTGGGAGTCAAGCTGAGGATGCAGGATTGTGATTCTGAGGCCAGTCTGGGCTATATAGTCTCAAAACAAAATTTAAAAAAAATTAAGTTTGCTAGATGGTCTAGGTCCATTTTACCTAATGGTGTCTATTGAGTCCAAGCCCTACTCTTTCTGTTTGGGTGGTGTCAGAACCCTAGAGGTTACAGAAGAAACCGAGCAATGGATGGACACACTGCTTATATACATTTTTCAGGTAGTGGGCACCTGTGCGCATGCGTGGTTCTACCTGACCTTCCTCTTCTCTCCTAGAGCCGCCAACTTCCGGAACTTCACCTTCATCCAGCTCAATGGGGAATTCTCCCGGGGAAAGGGCCTGGATGTTGGCGCCCGCTTCTGGAAGGGGAGCAACGTCCTTCTGTTTTTCTGTGACGTGGACATCTACTTCACCTCCGAGTTCCTCAACACGTGTAGGCTGAACACACAGCCAGGTGCGGGGCTCTCCTTCCTCAACCCTCAGGGTGGCCTGGGTGCTCTGGTGTTCACATGGGCCTCTTGCACAGTGGGCTGTGATGTCCAGGAGTCCTGTTTGGTAATCAGCCCACCTTGACCCCAGTGGGAAAGGTGCTCTACCCCTGGAGCCACAGCTCCTCTTCTGGCTTCTTGGTGATTCCTTGGAGATACGAGGCTCACAGAAATTTCTGCCCAGGCTGGCTTGGAATGGTAGTTTTCCTGAGTAGCTAGGATCACAGGTGTGAGCCACTGGCATCCCTTCAGGACATTTGTTTCACTCCCGCTGCCATTCGCCCATACCCAATCTTTCCTCTTTGGTTCACAGGGAAGAAGGTGTTTTATCCGGTGCTTTTCAGTCAGTACAACCCTGGCATCATCTACGGCCATCACGACGCAGTGCCGCCCCTGGAACAGCAGCTGGTGAGCGGTCAGGGCACAGGTGTTTCTGGGTCCCTATTACCAGGTGCATCTATCTGCCCCTGGGGAAAGCTGGGTGGGAGTCTGTGGGCTGACTCTCAGCAGTAGCGTTTGAGTTCTGGCCTTCGCTCCCAGTACCTTCCTTGCTGAGGAAAACACAGGACCTGCTCCTTACCAGGATGGTGGTAATTTCATACATTCATGGATTTTGGAAACTTGTTTTCTTGCCTGATGGCTGCAACGCATTTTTCTCTTTATTATTACAAGGTGAGGAGGGTGAGGCGTACATTCCCATCTGTCAGGTGGTAAACACAGATGTTAAGAGAGGTGTGCTCACCCTGTGCAGTTGATGAGTCTGTGGGGCACTGGGGGAGGGGTACGAGGGTCCCACCCACTTCTCGAGCCCTGAGTTCTGCCCATCACATCATCATTCCCACACGTCACTATCCGAGGTGGCTGCTGCTATCAGATGAATCGCTGACATCGTGATTCATAGGAAGTATAGAGGGATTTCTCTGCTAGAACCCTGGCTGCAGAGGTGATGGTTAGGAGAACGCCATCAGGGAACCATCCAGAATTTTCTTTTTTTAAAAAAAAATAAGTTTTTTTATTGTGAAAATACCATACAGAGGGGTTACAATTACCTGGGCAAGGTAATGAGTACATTTCTTATCAAGCATTGTTGCCTCCTCCTTTGTTTTTCCCCTACCATCCCTTCCCTCCCATCTCCACAACTACATCCCCCCCACCCCACCTCAACTGTAAAGTGGTTTCCTTTGTTTGCAATAACTAGACTATATCTGAGATAAGCAGAAAAGGTCAGATAAGATGATGTTAAGTGAAATGAACCCCAAAATAAGGCCACAAGTGGTTTATTTCTTGCTTGCTGTTGTTTCTAACGTATTTATAAGGAACTATGTGTTTTTTGTTGTTTTTGTTGCTTTGTATGTCCCTCCCCCACAGTATAACCCCTGTTTTCACTGTGTTTGATGTTGGTATAATTGGGGAGCAGAAGGGAAAAAACAAATTGTTTAAATAGGGATACAGGTGGACCCATTGCAACAATGAGATGTACAAGATGCTATGTCAGAATTTGCATACTGCAGATACAGTGCATTTGTTAATGTGTTATAACAGCATCTGTGCGTGATACTTTTTTTTGGGGGGGGGTCCGGTCGTGGGGCCTGAACTCTGGGCCTGGGCACTGTCCCTCAGCTCTTCAGCTCAAGGCTAGTGCTCTACCACTTGAGCCACAGCGCCACTTCCAGCTTTTTTCTTATGTGGTGCTGAGGAATCGAACCCAGGGCCTCGAGCATGCAAGGCAAGCGCTCTACCACTGAGCCACCTTCCCAGCCCACGTGATACTTTTTTTAACACCCAATTAGTGTTCATCTACCTTTGAGCATTATGTTCTCCCAGGGAAAAAGAGACTCCTGTTTGCTTTCCAGAGTCTTAAGCTCCTCAGGGTTTTAAGGGATGATAGGATTCAGCCTTTATTTTTCTTGCAACCAATCAGGGTCCAAGTTCCTTTGGTTTTAAAATAAAGAACTGCTTCACATTTGATATCGGATGCAATGAAGGTGTATGGTTTAAACTCATGGAGACCTTCTTTTCTTTCAAGGACCTCTTTTCACAATGTAAAGGTATGGTGCTCATATGATCTGCCTATGGACGGGCAGGTAACAGGGAGTTTAGAGAGGCCGTGAGGGTACATAGTCACCCCGGTCTTCAGAACTGGAAGTCCAGGCCACCATTAGAGCGCCTTTGGGTGTGCAAAGAATTGGCTTCCAAATGTACCTTTGGTCTCTCCTAAGCACATGCATTTGCTAGTTCAAAGTTTAGAGCTTATAATGATTAAATTTCATCAAACAGTAATTCAAAGGTTCACCATCTCTGAAAGAAAAGTACGAGCGTTTCATGACCAGACAGATCATTTTTGTTTGTTGGGGGGGTTCTTGTTTTGTCTTTTGTTTGGATTTGTTTTGCTTTTTGGGTCATGGAGATGGAATTAGGGTTTGAACTCAGAGCCTCGCGTCTGCTACCTCTTGAGCCATGTCCCAGCCCTGTTGACTTTTGTTATTTTTCATTCTTACCTGGGTTGCAAGTTTCTGCCTCCTAGAAGGCTGGGATGAAGCTTGTGAATCACTGTGCCTGACTGATTACGATGAGGGTCTCAATAACCTGTTGTGCCAGCTGGCCTTGAACTTCAGTCCTTCTGATCTCTGCTTCTAAGTAACTAGGTTTATGGGCATGAGCCATTGGGCCTATCTGGATAGGCACTATCTACCTCCTCCCTCCCTCCTTTCTTTTCTTTTTTTTTTTTTACTGTTGGAAAGTCTTTTATTATGTATTTTTCACTTTATAACATTTAAGAGGAATATAGACATACATTGATTGAACAAATGTGGGTTTTTTTGGTAAAAGAATGCAAGGAAGTTCCTCCTTTCTTTTCTTTTCTTTCTTTCTTTTTACCTTCCTTTCTTTTCTTTTCTTTTTTGTAGTAGTCCTAGGGTTTGAACTCAGAGCCTTGTGCTGGCTGGATAGAAAGAACCCCGCCTCCAGCCGTTTTTTGTGCTGTTTTGAGCTAGCATCTCTCTTCCTGCTCAGGCACACACCTGCACTTTGAAGCTCCTATTTGACATTTCTCACTGTAGCTGGAATGATACACATACCCCACTCCACCCAGTTCCTCAATTGAGATGGAGTCTCACACATTTTTCTGCATGAGCTCTCCTGGAACCTAAATACCTCTGCCTTCCACGTAGCTGGGATGACAGGCACAGGACAATTCACACTGGTGATTGAGAAGAAGTCTGGTGAACTATTCTGCTTGGGCTGGCCTTGAACTGTGATCCTTCAGATTTAAGCCTCTAACGAGGTAGGATTACAGGCATGATGCCCAGCTTGGACAGGCCATTTCTTCATCACTTGCTGCCAGGTAGGGGCTGGTGCAGGTGCCGGTGGAGGAGTTGGAAGTTCTGAAACCATTTCTAGTATTTCGAAGTGACTTGGGAGCGATTCTGTTCATTGACTTGTTTTTATAGAAGTGAAATGACTGACCCAAGATTATCCACCCTGTAGGCACCATAGCTCAAACCTAAACCATGGTGCCCTTCCTCTAGGGCACTGAGAAAATACTTGCTGAGGTGCTAGAGATGAGAGTTGACAGGTAAAGAAAATGGCCTGGAACATTCCCAAGGCAGACAATAGACAGAAATGAATACAACGGAGACCAAGGATGTAGGTGGTGGAATGGTGTCATATAAAAAGTAATCACTTGGGGGGGGGTGGAGAAATTAGGAGAGACTTCTTCCCAGGGGTGTATTTTTGGCTTGCGCACATATTCACAAAGCCTTGATGGCTTTCCCTGAGATACGTCATTGTCACCGCTGGCGGGGCCATGCACCCAGACTGCGGCTGGAATAACAGCTACTTATTTATGCATACAAGAAACAACCTTTCCAGGCAGCCTTGCAAACACGACCTGCTCTGTCAATGTGCCAGTTATCATTTTGCTGTGGCAGTTGCCACTGTCATTTTCTATATAACCTGCAGATAAAAGGAAGGGACTGGATTTATAACTGTGCACTCAGACTTCTCATTTCTTAGCCTTTCCATAGATATAGACCAATTCATGCTAACTGAAATCAGGGGATTTTTTTTCTATTAATACTTCACTTTTTGCGTTTCCAACCATAAGATGAAACTTACCCGTGCTCTCGCGTATGTAGCGATGGGGCTGCTGAGGAAGGAATGGCTGTGACTTCAATAAATGTTCGCTATAGACATTCCACTTTGCCGGCCCGGGCTTTGTCAGTTCTTGTTCAGGTTTCCAGCGGAATCTCCTCCCTCCTCTGTCTTTAGATTCTCAGCCTCGTCTACATTCCAGTCTTCCCTTCACCTTCTGCCAGAAATGTATTTCCAAAACACAGATTCATTCCATTTTTCAAACCTCTTTTAGAGCATAAAGCCTGTGCTGGTCAATGTTTGGCAACCTGTTGTCTTAAAAGGGGTGGAGGAAGCCTTGATGGGTGGGATCTGCCCATTTCCATGGTGTCAATGTCCCGGCCTTGGCTCTTCCAGGCTACCCATGTGACCTCACTGAGCCTCAGCTTGTATGCTGGGGCTAGCCTGTTCCATTATAGCACTGCAGGGCCTGGTTCCCTTTGGGGGGAGGGGGTTCATTGTCCTCCACAGATCCTACCACCTGGCACAAGATGCCAGCCTTGTAGACACCCAAGCCAGCCCTGCTGCTCTGCCACACACCTGTGCACAGTCTTCTTGGCTATCTTTTTTTTTTTTGTCAGTCGTGGGGCTTGAACTCTGGGCCTGAGTGCTGTCCCTCAGCTCTTCAGCTCAAGGCGAGCGCTACCACTTGAGCTACAGCGCCACTTCCTGTTTTCTGGTGGTTTATTGGAGATAGGAATCTCACAGTCTTTCCTGCCCAGGCTGACTTTGAACCGAGATCCTCAGATCTCAGCCTCCTGAGTAGCTAGGATTACAGGCATGAGCCACCAGCGCCCGGCTCTTCTTGGCTATCTTATGCCTCAAGGGCCACCTCAGTCTCTGATGCGGGCATCTCTGTCTGCTGTATATGTTGCGCTGCTGTTGTTTGAGCCTGATGCCCTTGTGCTGTGTGGTTCATGGGGTGGAGTGAGCTGACCCCCGTCCTTAGCCTTTCTCTGATTCCATCTCTCTACCCTCACCTGCGCTTCAGGTTGGTGACCTTACTTCCTGCACACAGTACCTCCAGAGCACACTGCTGTCTGTTTACTTATTCAGGAAGTGTACACCCATCAAATCACAAAAGTAATGTCCTCATGAGTGGTTTCATATGCCTGCGCCGGGCTGCCCTCTTTCCCATCGCTGTGAATAGATGACAGTGCTTCCTTACTCTCAGTCACAGACAGCGATCTGTGGCTCAAAGGACGTCAGTCACTTCCTCAGACTCCCAGAGCTGCTGGATGACAGACGCCCAAACTCAAGTGCCACAAAGTGAGGGATGTAATCCTTTGGCTTTTGACCTCACAAAAGACAGAAGAGTTGACATCTGGGAAACAAGAGAATGTGCATGGGACCCATACAGACACCCTTGTAAAGGGGTGTCATCATCAATGAAGATGATTTGTTGAATGGTAATTCCTTTGGACAACTACTTAAAGATAATAAAAATCTAATGATAAGAAGAAAACTCAATCATTTTAACTTCCTTTTTTTAAATTTTTTTTTATTTTTGTCAGTCATGGGGCAAACTCAATCATTTTAATTCAAAAAGACTTGTGGGTAAATGTGACTTAGTATGATCAGAGAGGAGAGGGCATTTGAGTTCATTCTTAAATGAATGATGGGAGGGCTGTAACTCCAAAATATCTTGTCAAGAAATACAGCTAAGATTGTCCCCATGAACCTGGGTATGCTCTGGGCGTGGTACTAATGGGCTAGGTGGAACTCCATCCAAACAAGAGGATGTCATCACTTCTGTGTCCCATGCAGTGTGATCGATGATAATAAAGAATAAAAAATGAAGGGTCAGGGGGCACCTAATGCACACCCAGAGTTCCTTGCAGTTCTGGTGCTCTTAGAACAGGATCTGCTACCTGAGTAGAACATTCAAGAGCAAAACGAAAAAGGCAAGCCCTTGCCCCAGAAATTACTAAGCGTTTTAAGACCATGCCAGGAAGCATGGGGCCTTGTAAGTGTGGGTCCCGTGTGAGTATACCCCCACCCCAGCTCACCGGCGCTCCTGGTGAGAAGAACATTAGACCCAGCCTCGGTTCTTGGGAGACTGTTGATTTAGAGGAGACACTCTGCCTGAGTATTTGTTATTTATTTTATTGCAAGGTCCAGATTGCTTCACGGGCAGCTCTCCAAGTCAGCACCATTAAAACAGAGCCGACAGGCCCTGCCGGCCTCCCCAGTGCCCGCACAGCTGCAGTGCAGCCGCCTGCCTATAGCTCTGGGAGAAGAGATGCTGATTTATGCTCCATGTGTTAGTCCTCATCGAACATAATCACTCCTGTCACGTGAATTGCCCGCAGAGCTGTGGCTCTGGAAACTTCCTGTAGGAGAGCTAGCCAGATAACTGTCCTTTTGTGGTGTACTGGCTCCTCGGTGAGCTCCCCCACGGGGCAGGCAAGGTCAGGCTGGCAGCAAAAGAAATTACAATAATAATTAGTAGTTATAGTAATGTGGTAGCAGCAGTAGTAGTAGTAGTGTTAGTACAGGGTCTTGGACTCAGGGCCTGGGTGCTATCCCTTAGCTTTTTCACTCAGCCACTTGAGACAGAGCTCCATTTCCAGTATTTGGTGGTAAATTGGAGATAAGAGTCCTTATGGACTTTCTTGCCTGGGCTGGCTTTGAGCCATGATCCTAAGATCTTAGCCTCCTGAGTAGCTAGGATTACAGGTGTGAGCCACCAGTGTCCAGCTAAAAGACATTTTTAAAAAATGAGGATATTGTGCTTGAAGTCAGATGAGTGAAATTTAGGGCAAGGGGACAAGATATGTCTCTTTTCATGTTCCACCTTTATCTTAGTGATGTAGAAGACACTCTTAGCAAGTGTGTTTAATACCTGGTCAGAGCAGCAGAACTCCACATGCACAAGGCAGTGTGTCCAGGAAGTCAGGCCCCGGCTTGAGGCCCCAGGAAGGGGAAGATATGCTTGTCCGTTGGTCTAGAGCCATGCAGTTTTGAGAGTGGTCACCTCTGGACCTCCTACTGATGCCTTTGCCGAGCTACTTGTGGACAAGTGGCTCCCACTTGAAGGATGTCTGTGTCCACCGACTGGGCACCATCTACAAACATGAATGGGAGGGGGCCCTGAGCTGGTGTTCACTGGGACTGGAGGGAAAAGAGAGAGAGCAAACAGAGAAACACCTGCACCTGCAGAGTGTTTCTCAGTGCTGCGAGTGTCACAGAGAAGATAAGCCAGGGTGACCGTGTGCAGAGAGACAGGGAGGGTGGCCGGAATGCCCACACTGGCCAGGGGGTCGGGCTGGCCGCTCTGAGCAGAACCCAGCGGTCAGCAGAAGAAGGGGGCGAGGGGAGGCCAGGCAGGAATTACAGGGTCCTCCCTTGGATGCTTAAGGGTCTGGAGAATTTGGGGGATTAGGAAGTAGGGCTGCGTAGTAGGGAGAATGAGAGGCGAGGAGGAAGGTGAGGTAGACAAGGCTGGATCTTGGAAGGGCTTGAGGGCCATCCTTATCTTCCCCTCCCCTTGTGACTCAGTGGGGACACTCCTGGAGGAGAGTTGGCGAGCACTAGCTCCTAGCCAGGCTGTTTACCAAGGGCCATGCAGCCCAATGTGCTTCAAGTTGATCTCCACAAAAGGTTACCACTGAATGAGCTCTTCCCAGTGTGGCTTTCTGTGGCTTGCCGACTTTTAACATCCACTGAACCGTCTCTATTGCTCCGCCCCTAGGTCGCAAATCAGTGTTTGCTGCTCTGTTCTCATTCAACCACATCCACCACTCCATCAACTCAGGCTGGAGTCTTGGATGACCACCGCCTGGAAGCCATCTCTGTTCAGTTGTTCTTCCTGTTGAGAGATTTCTCTTTAAATTCCATGGATAGTGTAGCCAAATATTTGATGTTTAGGTACCAGCCCTTCCCTTTGACTTGGTTTCTCTCCAGACACCTAGAGGCCTGTGCATCGTAGCCAGCAAGAGGGACATGAAACCATTGATTGCCACATCATCCTGACTCCTGGGATAGCAGAGACCACACAACCCTTGTTAAGAAAAAGTGTTTTCCCAGACTTTTCTGCCTTACACCACCTTTCCAGCTGATACTCATAAAACTGCCTTCTCGTCTGGATAGTGTTTGGGGGCAGCCCTGAGTCCTGGGGTGGTATCGGAGAACATTTATTTGCAGTTTTTTCCCACTGACTCTCTCAGGTTCCTGATTTCCCTCCGGCCACCCTAAGATGTGGTGACAGTGGCGTAGGTGACACTTGTGGTGGTAGGTTGCAGCGAAAATAAGATAGTGACATGAGTTCCAGAGTAAAAGAACCTGCAAGATTCATCAACCCTCCTGCCAGCCATTGTATCCATTGTAATTTAGGTCTGTGGGAGGCTTCCAGAAGTTGGAGTAACCATGATAGGATAGCTGCTTGGCTGTCACAGAGGGAAGAATCTTCAGGGGCCAGTTTAGCTCAGTGTTCTCATCTTCTAGGAAAGAAAGAAGGTAGAAGGAATGAAAAGCTCTTCCTGAGGGTTGAAGCCAGACAGGGGTCAAGTTGGGACAGACAAGACTCTTCCCCTTTGTAGACTGTCTCAGATAAGCAGGCAACAGGGCCAAATGTCCCCCAAATGAGGGACCTACTGTCACCTCCCTTCCCCTAGCCCAGGAGAGGGGACCTCCTTTCTTCCCAGCACCTGTATGAACTACAAGAATGAATCATTTAAAAAAAATTAACTATTAAGATCTCAAACCCATTTGCAGCATGACCTCTGCCAATATGTGTGTATGTGTGTGTTTTCACAAACTTTTGCTGCCTCACAAATATGTTAAAGATGTACTTGCAAAAGAAGAGAGCGCAGAAGCAGATCGCACTGTTTTATGAGCCTGCGCAGCTTGGATGGCCTCTCGGCCGCGCGCAGGGGGCTAGCACCTCTGTGTGTGTGTTTTCTGGAACTGAACAGTTGGAAAATAGTACCAAGAGGAAAAGGCAGGCTTTCTTCAGATCCTGGCCTCTGGGTGCCCTTTCCCCTAGCGAGTGCCGGATAGCCGAGCCCCAGAGCTGGGAACCACTGAGGTCTCTAAGTCTTTCTTTTTATGCCCTTGGGAGCCCGGCTGGTGGACTGTGCCAGGACTGCTGAATCCTGAGTTGTTCTCTCTCCCTTTGCTCAACTTCCTGAGCCCTTTGCTGGCTGCCCGCCCAGGGCCAGCACGAGGGAAGGGCTCAGGCCTCAACTTCTCACTGGCGCTGGGATCTGGCCAGACACGTAGGTCGCTTTTCCATGGCATCGCTCAAAAACTTGCTCTCTTGTGTGTGTGTGTGTGTGTGTGTGTGTATGTGTGGTGGTGGTGGTGTGTGTGTGTGTGTGTGTGTGTGTGTGTGTGTGTGTGT